TGGGTGCCGTGCCCAGCTCGCCCCTGAGCCGCTCACACACTGGTGCTCCGGTCATTGACCGCGGGGGGTGTGTCAGTGGACGGAACACTGCGTGTCATTGTGTTTTGGTCCCTTTTTTTGGTTGAGTGAATGACACCAGCATTTGTCGAAACTGTGCTTTACTCTGTGTAGGTTTGTGGAAAACCTAGATTTCCAAAATGAATAAAGATGCGCAGATGAGAGCAACCATTAACCAAAAGCTAATCGAAACAGGAGAGCGAGAGCGGTAAGTTGAATTCCTCCTCCATTCCGTTGAGAGGCTTTAAATACATCAAGACTGCACTATACCTAGAAGTACAATAAACTCCATAAAGTAGACTCAGTTCTAAATTCTTTAAATGCTCGCACATGAAAGTCTTGAGTGTTATAGAAGCTGTTTTAAAAAATGCCTTTGGAACAGTTTTATTTTAGTTTTCCACTTGAAAAGAGATACTGGGGAGATAAATGATGGGTAATTGGTTTATGAACTCTAAAGCTTACCCTTATGCAGGTATTTTGTGTTGGAATGCCCGAGATTCATGTAAGAATCATCCTTCCATTCAATTTGCTGCAGCTAAGTCTTGTTATTTCCTGATTAAGAGAAGGAAACAAAACTTTCCTTTTTGCTTTTAAGTTTTTCTTATGTTTCTAGCTCTTCTCTTATTAAGTAAAGCAATATATTGTACAATACATAAAGGAGTGCTTGTGCAAGTCATTTTAGAGATCCCAATCAAGTAAATTGCACAATTTTTTTTGGCCTATTGTTGTCTCTTCAGTCTGTTTTATTGATGTTATATTTGCATATCACTAGAGAGCTTATGACATTTACCTCCTCATCGTTTCACTGTGCTTGCAACACCATGCACCAAAAGCTCTAATTCCTTCATTTTTAAAGACCTGTATGGGAAGAAATTTTTTCCTGGGTCATGGCATAGCCTTGTGCCTGGTGTAATCTTTTGTAGCCTGACATGGTATCTCTGCTCTCCATCTTCCCTGGTTGTAACCATCCCCTTGAAGATTGCACAGAGCTTGAGAAAAGCAAGCAATTTATTGGAATGGTATTGAGATCTATTTTATGCTAATTTAAGAATAGGAAGGGTTTTATCAGGATGTCAAAAGCTGTCTTATAAACAGGCTTTATCAGAGCTGTACTGTGATCAGAGGCAGAGAACTTAGATTTCTTGAACTAAGAAATATCCAGAGGCAGCCAATTTCACGTGTATTCTTACTCTAGTTCCTCTGCCCTCTACACCATTCACTGAGTAGAAGGGATTAGACCTACACTGTTCAAACTCTTGCTACAATCCTTTCATTCATAAAAACAGGGTTTTGCTAGAGATACTTAGGGTTGTACAAGATAAGCAGGCTTCCTAGCTAATGGAGAAAAGGGTAAAAGATAATAAAGTTATTTATCATATCTTACTTTCATTTTCCCTTCTTCTGTTTTTTTAGTACTAATTTTCACTTTTTAACCTAACTTTCAATATTCTGTTTCGCTATACAGAGTAGATGCTTCATTGTGGCAGATTGTTGTGTCTTTTCCAGTAACGCCTGAATTCTTGTTGCTTAAGCTTACATAGCTAACCATGCTTAGGAAGCTTAAGATATAGGATCCTTCATTTTCACCCAGAACAAGATAGTGTGAACTGGGGAGATAAACTTGCAGTTGAGTAGTGCAGAATTCTTCCTGAAAGGTGAGGGAAAAGGTTTTGCTTATTTTAAAGACCTGGTATCAGGTGAAATACTCCAGCTTTGAAAGTCTGCATACATCTGCTACCAGAGTAGACTCAGGTTAAGTAATTCAAGCGCTTCTGTTTTTTTCTCTGTGGCTGCAGCATCAACATTGCCTGAAGCAATTCTGTGAGTTAATTTTGGATTCACCTGCTGTTCAGCCATTTCTGCTGCTGCTCTGGGACCTCTTGGGTAGTAATTGTAGGCCTGACTTTCACACTGGAGCATATTTAAGCTGTCAGGAATGTTTGCTGTTCTAACAAGTTTTATATTGTTTTAACAGCCTTAAAGAGTTGCTGAGAGCCAAGTTAATTGAATGTGGCTGGAAGGATCAGTTGAAGGCACATTGCAAAGGTAACAGTGGTCAATTAATTAATTTCTTTTGTAGTCAACTGAGATTCTGGACAAATAAAAGTCCCAGATGAAGGCTTTACTGACAGTTTAAACAAGACCTGGGCAAGAAGAATGTATCCCTGGCAACTTGACATTTATGTTTAAACATGCTACTGAACTGAGATTACTTCTCAGCTTTGATTTCTGCATTTTTCAGTAGTGTGCAAGGCACTATAAGTAAACAGTAGTTTCATACTGATGAAACATACTGATGTGTATTAATAATAGCCTTTATTTTCCTATAGATTTATTCCTTTTTCTCTGACATACTTTTTGGCTTGGCTGAAATATGTACAGAAATCTTGTTTAAACCAGTTGGAAGAATTGTAAGGATTTACTGTCTGTGCTCTTCCTTACTGTATGTTCCAAAGTGTTTTTCCAGTTGCACCTTTCTTACTACTGTGTAAATAATATGTTTTAAGAGATAAGTGAGCCAACTTGTGAACTGCTCCAACACTCTAGCAACAGGCTCATCTGGTAATGCTCAGATGAGATAAAACAATTTCATGTTTGTTTTTAAAATATGAGCTGATCAAGATGCATCAGCAGTGACAGGTTCCCATCCTTAAATCTATGGCATGAGTGAGAGACTAAAATCCACTGTACAGTGCAGTTGGTACTGAGCTAATAACCCATCTTTAGGTCTCATATTCTTTATATTCTCCCATGACCATGTAGGCAGGGTTTGTCTCTAAGTCACCAGCACAGGTGTCCTGGTTTGAGAGGAAATGAGTTTTATGGGATGCTGTGGTCAAACCATAGGTACTGAGATTTGAATATTGGCACCTGGTGTGGCCACTGAGGATATGGATACGCCTCTGAGAACACAGGGGGTTAAAAGCAGAGAACTCCCAGGAAAGCTTTCTCTGGATTTCAGTGGTGAAAGAGGTCAGAGCTCCCCTGCCCAGCTGTGGGCTGGGCGGCGGCGGCCAGGTGAGGTAGGGCCTCGGACAGAGGGGAGGTGAAGGCCCCTGAGGATGGAAGGGTGGAGGAACATTGGGGAGTCATCAGGCAGCAAAATCCCCCCAGGGGGGAGAGAGAGAGCCGGTGTCTGTGCCTGTGCCACTTTGAAATTTGATAGCACGGCCGGCTGAGGAGAAGCGGGGCATGTGGCAAGAAGGTTGGGCAGTGTGGGAGTTCTGGACAGGCAGAGCCTGAGATTTTTAACCCTTTTTTTGGATGATGGAAACGTTACAAATGCTGATCCTCCTGGAGGTGAATGGGAAGAAAGATAGTGATGAGATAAGAGGAAATGGGCCACAAGAGAAGTGGAGAAGAATCTTGGGTGGGAGGAGGTGGTGGAGTGGCCTTTGGCTGGACTTTTCTTGTACAGCCATGGACAGAACCATTTTTCCTGTGACACAGAGACTGCATTTAGGGGGAGGCAGTGGCTCAGGGCCAAGAGAGTTCAGTGTTGTTATGTGAAAGAGTGTGTGAACAGAGACAATGGATGAGGAGGGTGGTTGGTGCCCTTGATGATCAGTGAAGGAGATCTGTGTTCTTGAGACCCCTTGGCCCCAGGGGGTGAATTTGAGGGGGACAGGTGTCCCAAAAGTGAGAGACTGGGCTCTTTTTGGAACTGGACAAAGCATCCTTAAAAGGAAAACCCTAGGAGCAGCTCCGATCCATGCACAGTGGTGAGAGCACTGGGCATGGAAGGAAGATGTCAGCATGGCAATGATCTCCAGGCAGTGCCACCTGTGACATGGAAACACAAGAGGTCTCAACTGTGTTTCCAGGGGAAGCCTGTGGCACAAGAGGGACTCCTCACTCTTTGATTAACTGAGAATTGATTATCTAAAGGGTGGTGATGGACTGAGAGTTGATGATCCGAGGGGTGGATGTATTGGAATTTGGTGGGGGGAGGAGGAATGTTTGGAAAGTTTTCATCCTGAGTTCTGTGTGTTTCTTTTATATATTGTAAGTTAATTGTTTTCCTTCTGTTCCTAAGCTGGAGCCTGCTTTGCTGTATTCCTGGTCACATCTCATAGCAGACGCCAGGGAGAATGTATTTTCATGGGGGCATTGGCATTGCACCAGGGTCAAACTATGGCAACAGGTTTTGTCATTTTATGAATGGATTAAAATACTTAAAGTATTGGTCTTGGTCTTCCCCAGATGTCATTAAAGAAAAAGGATTAGAACATGTTACTGTTGATGATTTGGTGGCAGAAATCACTCCCAAAGGCAGAGGTAAGAAAATGCAAATGTGGATGGAGTAGTACATCAATAAACATACCTACCTCTATTTCATCAGTATTTTGAAAGCAGCATCATGAGCTTGTCTGTGTTGGATTCAATAAAAAATGTTAATAGCTTGATATTACCTACAAATAAAATGTTAATAGCTTAATAATAGCAACCAATGAAAAATGTGAATTTGTATTGTGTAGCAGCCTTCAGATTACTTTTGCAGATTATTTAGTCATGTCTCTATTCATTTTTATAACTGATTTAATGGTCCCAAGTTGTGTATGCAACACAGATGTTTTAAAATTCCAAATCTTTTAAGATGGAAAATCAGAACTAACAGTTGTAGTGGAATGGGAAGAGTAAATGACATAGCATACAAATACTAAAAAAATTAAATCACTTAAGGAAACTGCAGTCCTCTTTATATTGATCTTCTCAGGCTCTCTAGCAGGATTTGATGTTAGTGGTAGAAATTTCATTAGGTTCTAAATAAAAATAGGCATTCAAAATAGCTTGCTTGAGACCCTTTCTAGAGACCAGATTTGAGAAATTTTTTTTTATCTTAAATTTGTGAAGAAAAAAGGTAGGATAATCACACTTATTCTGGTGATTATATCCTGTTTCCTGTTAAATAATCCTTTTCCTCAAACTTGCCAGTTTTCTGGACTATGAATAGGCAAAAAAACCCCAAAAACCTGACCAGTAACATTGTTCTCAATAGATCCTAATTTTAGCCTATTTTAAATGGGGAAAATATACATGTGCTATATGAAAATAAAGTTGTTTCAGTTACTTTAGGTATTAACAAAATTGCAAGAACAATAAAAGAATAGAAATGGCTATTGTAAAAGCGTGGTTTAGCATACTTTTTGTTTTGTCTTTTTTTACTTCTTGCTTTCTTATTTGTGTTTCAGCTTTGGTACCAGACAGTGTAAAGAAGGAACTCTTGCAAAGAATAAGAACCTTCCTTGCTCAGCATGCCAGTCTTTAACTTCGACATTCATCTGGGATACAGTTTCCTGTATAACGTCAGTCATGTCAGGATTGGAATACAGTTTACATACTTCATCAGGATGAAAAACTATTAATTTTTCTTTGCATTGATTTCTTAAAGTTGGTGTTATTTTAATAAAAAATTTTGTGGACTCATGGTTCTAAGGTGGTTCTCTATCTCAGTGGACTGTAATGTGCTGTCACCTGTTCCAGTTTGTAATAATCCGTGACTTTATGCAATTGTAGAACCTTGCAAAGATTTTCAGAAAAGAAGCACAGTTAACAAGTATGTTGAGCAGAAATGCAGAAAGGTGTAAAAAAAGTGTGAAAAAAAATGGGATACGCCATACTGCTGAGCATAGTTTTTCTGAATTTCCCAGAGTGAGCAGGACAAAGTTAAAACTATGTAAAACTGTTGGTGAAATTCCTTTTGTACTTCTTTTATAGAGAATGAGTTGTTTGAAGTCTCTGACATTGGATGCAAGTATTTACTCAGCAATTAATAAGAGGTTGAATTCTTTAAGAAAAAGGCAGTTGTATCTTTCATCAGCAATTCTTTTCACATTTGCTTTGAGTCACTATTCTAATTTTGAACAACTACTGTTTTCTATCTTTGCCCATATTACTGGTTTTTTGGGTTTTTTATATGGATCTTTGGGGCCTTTTTAAATTAAGTATAGTTCAGTACTTTGCCACTGTAACATGAAGCATTTTTAATTCTTGTATCTGGAACTGTAACATCAACCAGGTCTATACATAACTGCAAAAATAAATTTGATTAATAGAGAGGATCAAGAAAGAGGCTTTGAAGTGAGAATGTTTAATTTTTCCCATATTTTAGAATCATTTATAAAATGATGCACAAGCATAAGCAAAACCTGAATGAGTAATTGGATACTGTTGTGACTCGGTGGAGAAAAACTACTGACTCAAAATAATATTCATACTCCTAATGAGAAGAATACTGTAAAAACTCGAAAAGCCGTTCCTCTGCCAGTGGGTTGCGCTGTTCCATCATGGCCGCTCGGGGGCGCCCGCGCCCTTCGCACTGGACGGAGGTGGCGGCTTCCCTTCCCTCTCGAGCCCTCGGCCTGCGGGGAGAGCGCTGCGGAGCTGTGGCACGGACACAGCGCCCCCCTCGCTGCCCGCCCCCTGAGACACGCTGTGCTCAGCCCGCAGCATCACCTGCACGGGGTTGGGCAGAGCCACAGTGGCAGTGCCAGCCTGAGAGGGCTCCAGGGCCGGCTCAGACGGGGAAACAAGTGTTATGTTTGCCCAATTATCCCATCAAAAAAACCCAAACAATATTTAAGATAGCAACAATTTTAATTGAATAGTTTAGAAAATATATAAATAAGGGATAATTTGGTTCAAATAATAGCGCATAAGTAAAAACAACCACGGGGTACGGAGGTTCTTGACCCTTGCCACTTCACGTACAAGCTTGCCAAGTGAAAGTCACCCCTTATATGCCATGTGTCAATGCCATCTCCTCCCATTTTCGGTTGGTCACTTTTCTGTCTCCGCCTTCATTACCACCTTTACCACGCATGCGCCACCACTCGGTTTGGTGGTCGCACAAGTCTTTGGGGGTCGTCACTGATGAAGGCCCTGTAGTCTTCTTCATTGTCCTTTAATTCACCTTTGAGTTACACATGCGCACCAAGCCAGTACAATGTAAGCCAAGACTAAGGTATCACTGCATCTACATATCAAAGCAATAAGTCCCTTATAATTAGCATTTTCTTGGACCCAACCAGGTTCTTGGTCATTTTTAGCAACTGTACCTTCAGCTTCTTTCCTGTGGTCCTTGAGAACATCTGCTGGGAAGGGGGATGGGTGGAGCCCCTCCTTTCCCTCTCCTCTTTGGCATTACTATTTTTAACTTATTAATTCCAAATATTAGTTACTGTATCAATATGGAGTACAGTTTCAATTTTTATCAGTACGAATCATACTTATTTACCACACAAGTCTGGGAGAAATCTGCCCACCGCCAAAGGTGAAGCTTGGCAGTAAACGGGAGTTGGTATAAACGGGGCAATACCAGCACCAACAGGCTGAGATGTAACTGGTCATGAACATCTTTTGTCTACAAGGACCAAGCTCCTGCTAAGACTGTAACAACATTGGAGCCAAGATCGTGGATCTGCTGCAGATATTCTGCCTGCACTGTTTTAAATCTACCTTAATGTCAGCTAGAATGTATTTGCTGTATGTCATTGCCTCGATGCTGTTAAATAAATGTGGAGGTCATAAAGAAAATAATTCTTTCGCTTAAAGATCCGTTTTGTTTTTCAAAATGTGCTTTTGCATTTAGTATGTATAATTGCTTAACCCCTGCTGGCAACTCAGCCCCACACAGCTACTCGCGCACTCCCCAGCAACACCAAGTGGGATGAGAAAGAGAATAGGAAGTATTGAAGTTGGAAAAACTCATGGATTGAGATACAGACAGGTCAATAGGTAAGGTAAAAGCCATGCACACAAGCATAGCAAAACAACGACTTCATTAAGCACTTCCCATTAGCAGGAAGATATGCAGATATCTTCAGGAAAGCATGGCTCCATCCACTTTTGCAAAATAACTGAGGTTAGTTAGAAAATAACATCTCCTACCGGGAAGGGAAGCAAAATCTTGCGATTTCAATGGGCATCAATTGGGCAACCTGTGGTCCATGTCCCTGCAGTTGATGGCATGGCATACCTTTTGATGGCTATCACTTTGGCAAAATATAAGGGTTTTTTTTATTTTAAGTATCCATGCCATGTCTCTGATATCTTCCCTTCCAATTAGTGTCTTCCTCCTTGATTTTTTCCCCTGCTTTTGCAATATCTGTGAGGTTAATTTTGGCCTGTTTTGCTCCTTTGCACTGCACCAGATGTAATCCCGGTCCATTTTCTTGTTGTCACAAAGGGTGACAAATCCCGATTTTCGGGATTTTTGGGGTTTTTTTTAATTGCATTTCATTTGATCATATCTCCTTTCCCGTGTGTTTGTTAGGCTTTCTTTTCACTTTCAGACTTCAACAGGAATCAGCTTTAGCAATCTTTGGTTCATATCCCTACACTTGATGACATACAGGCCTTTTCATGGTTTTTGACTTTAGGCAATTTATTTTTATTTTTTAAGTATCCATGCCATCTCCCTGATATCTTCCCCTCCAAGTTGTTGTCTTTCTCCTTGATTTTTCCGCTGCTTTTGTAACATCTGTGAGTTTAGTTTTGGCATGTTTTGGTATTTTGCACTGCACCTCATTTCCTACCAGACCCTTTTCATGTAGTCATCAAATCTCTCATTTTCCTTTTTTTTTTTTTTCGGGTTTTTTTCAATCGCATTTCATTTGATCCTATCTCTTTTCCAGAGTGTTTGTATGTCTTTCTTTTCAGTTTCACAAGATTTTGTTTCCCTTTGCGAAGGAAGTGAAAGAAAACAATTTTGGAGGAAATTAAGTGCAGGGGAAATTACTAAATTTTATCAAAACCAACCTCACAGATGCTGCAAAAACATGGGGAAAAAAATCACGGAGGAAGACACAACTTTGAGGGCTAGATATTAGGGACATGGCTTGGATCCTTAAAGAGAGTAAAAAGATCTTCCCCAAAGTGAAAGCTATCGTATGCTGTGGGTTGCTTTGAGTGGCAGGGACATGGACCAAAGCTTGCCCATTTGATCCCCCTTGAAATCTTGGAAAGAAGAAAGAAGGGCTTACAAACACTCTGTAATGGAGATACCATCAAAGGAAATGTAATTATAGAAAGAAAAGCAGAAAATTGGGAAATTTAGTGACTGTATGGAAGTGTACAGGGATTGCATGAGCTGCATTTCAAGGGACCACAACATGCCAAAACTAACCTCTCAGATGTTTCAACATCAGGAGAAAAAATGAAGGAGGGAGGTAGAGTATTGGTATGTGTTGAACAGCCAATATTTATGCCAGGCGATGAAAGGAGGCGCTGTGCACAAGCAAATCAAAATAATAAATACCTATTTTTGTGTTTTGTGTATTCTTGGGGAGAAGCAGTTTCTTGTACTACCTTTTGCAGCTGGCTTTTTGGAAGTTTATTTTACATTAAATTCTTGTGCAGAATGAATCAATCCGTTTGTAGAGCTAGGTCTTGTTGAAAAAAGATATCCACTGAAATCTCTGTTTTTATAGAAATTATTTGTGAATTTAGAACAGACAATTTTTTTGTGTGTTGGGTAAGATAGAAAAAAGAATTCTAAAATGTACCTCAAATGTATTGATGTTTTTGGATGTGTCAAAGTGACAGACAATATTAGGACCATTAATATTGTGACCTTTATCACAATTGCAACTGTGCTGAACTTTTCAATTCAAAAGGTTCAACATTTGTCACTAGATATGAATTCATGTGAATTCAACATCTGTGAAATAACAGTCTAAGCCAAGAATAATTTTTTTTTCTGTCTAATTGAGATGACAAGTGTAAACAGTTAACTAAGTTTATGTTAAAGTCAAGGTATTTCTTTGTATATTGAAAATAGGAAATTGAAATACTGTCAGGAGGTTCTGCGTGAAGTTTATAAAAACTATGGAGCGGATGGCTATCTTTTGGGGTGTTTTCCTTCCATGTTTAATTTTTCTTTTTTATTTTGTCTTTCCAGCAGCAGTCCTTTTCCACTTAAAAAACAGACTGAATCAAACTAAAAGTTTCATTTCATTACATGGCAATCCCACAATTTCAATGAAACAAAATAACTGAGCTACCAGAAATCAATGAGAAGGAAGTGCAGCAAGACAGGTACAGGTCAGTGATCTTGTTATTTTCTGGGTTTTTTAAAATTTTTATTTCTGTTTAGTGTCAGAATTAGTTGGAGAGCTTTTTCCTGGATCTCCATAGTGAACATATTTTACCAAAACTAAATTTAGATTGTGATGATTTTAGAGTCTCTGCAAAGAGTATTAATTTTGAACTAATTTTGTATGTTTATTACTTGCATCAGATGCTGTTTCTTGGTATGTCCTAAGAAAGATATTGCATAATAACATATATATATATGTTATTATATATGTGTATATATATATTTATCTATATATCTATATAGATGTATATATCTATATCTGTATATATATATCTATATATCTATATATCTATATCTATATCTATATCTATATCTATATCTATATCTATATCTATATCTATATATCTACATTTCATATATAACATAATGTTAATCCCAGTCATTGTCTATGAAGTTTGCATAGTAATACCTACGGTTTCTTGTAGCTGAAGGATTCTTTCACTTGGAGCCAGCAGTCCTTTACACTTTGTGCTTGTAGCTGCTGTTATCCAACTTTATTGAAGTTGAATAAGATTTAATTGTGGTAAATTACCTGTCTATATATGTTGGCCCCTGTGCATAGCAATCTGCATAAGTATGACAGTTTTGCATGTGACAGCAATGCCTCATATACATCATGTGGAGTAGCACATTTCCCTTTGTAAGGACATCTGCTACCCTCTGGTGCATGGTTTCAAAACAGATGGGCCAAAGAGGCTTCAGCTCTGATGCAGGTCATCACAGTTCCCAGTGTTCTGTACATCATCATCATTACTCTCTGTTGTTATAGGTGATTTTTCTGAGGTTTACTCAGAGTACTACTGCAGTATCAAAAACTAAGTCCAACAGTTCTGCTCCATTTCCCCTCTCACAGTTTTTTTTTTTTATTTCAAAGAGGAGCTGATGGTACTACTTCTACAAATCTAACGACTTCAGAACAACTCTCAGAAGGAGAATCATTATTCAAAAAGGAAAATACCTTCATTCTCCTTACCTTACTTCCCTGGAAAAGGTCTGAGTTGGGTTGGGTATTTCTGAACATAAAAAAAGACCATAGGAACAGAACATGGATTCACATCTTCCAAAGAAAGTAGCCCTCTGCTGCACTTATTACTGACAGTGAGCTTTGAGCACACCAAGCAGAATCTGCCTTAAACACATTTGGGAAAGAGAATCTGATTCATATCTAACAATGCTTCATGATCATGTTATTAAGACATGGTGTTTGATCAATATCTGCTACTGCAGATGCTGAAAGCAGAATGTTGGTTTTTTTTGTCTGTAAGTTTTATTTGACTAGTATTTAATCCAACACTTGATTTTATCCATTTCCAGACACTGTGACACGTGTTGCATATCTTCATCTTTCAAATCAATCTTACTATACAGTAAAGTTTGAAAGGCAAGCAACTTCTCTAAACAGTAACATTACCAACAAATAAAACTTTCTTTAAACATCCTCTTGACAGACACAAAGTATTAGGACATTTCACAGATTCAAATAGTCACAAACTTTTAAGCCAGAAAAATACAGCTGTGTTCCTCTAATCTTACTTGGATGGCATAAATTACAGTATGGACAGATATCTGGAATAATTCATACAATTTACAAATCCATCCAAAGTATGAATTATTGTTGAAATTAGGGAAATTATTATGTTGCTGTTATAAAAACTGTTCCTCAATAATCAGTTTGGCACTGTATTTTCCAGACATGTAGCCAGAAATTCTTTCATGTCTCATCTAAATATAATGAGCCAAGTTTGCTGACAGAAACAGTGTAGGACAATGAACAAGCCTGTTAGACACTTTTTGAACTGAGCTGAGCTGTGGAACAGGACAAAATGAGCAGAGTCTGAACAGTGAAGGCAGGAGAAGTGAGGCATCCAGCTCAGAGGTGGGCAAGGTTTTATAAGGGTTTGTTTCTTGGTTTTCTTATACAAGGCCAAATGAAACACCTAAATTAAAAGGAAATTAGAGATAAAGAAGAAAAACCTTATTTCAAAAAAATATGCAGGTGGAACAGGAGAAGACTGTGAAAAGGGATTAGCCTCTATCAGAGGTAGGAGAAGGAAATTCTAGAAATCCTGTGAACAAAAATTTTGGTGCACTGAGAGATGTTTTGTCGGCAGGTAAAGAGATCTTTTGGGGTTCTTAAGAGGACACCAGTATACAGATGAAGTAATGTTATATCAGCATTAACTTTTTGAGCCAAACTTGAAAAGTCATTAAATTTTATAGATTAGTTACACCAGATTTACTGTCTAAGAAGCAGAAAAATAGTTGACAAAGAAATAAAGCTTAGGAATAAGAATAAACTTTTATCAGGTTCCCTTATTTCCCTAAGTCAAAACCAATATGATCTTAAATAAATGCAATTTGAGATAACTTTTAAATTTTAAATTAGACAAAGAGCTGTGTTTCCATGATTCATAGAACTCATTAAACTCCAAAATGCAGA